ACACACACACACACACACACACACACACACAGAATCTCCTGAAAGCTCATTCATTTTTATTTTCCTGCTTCCCAGTTCCATGCACAAAGTAGAGGCTCTTGAAATACTGAATGAATGATATTCATCTATTTCAGTCCTTAAATTACCAATTCGTTCTAGAATGTCCAGGGACAAAGAAAAATTCTCACTTTCCACCTCACAGTTGCTTAAATTCTCCAGCCACTTTATGCAACCAGAGTTTTTAAGATCTATGGTCTCTCTGCTCTTGTTTAATGTATATGCCTTGTAAAATTAAAAGGACATTATCCTGAGCCTGTTATTATAGCACAAGTATGCACCAAGACACTTAGGCAAGAACAAATCATGCAGTTGAATGATTCCATATTTGCCAAAGAATGGTCTAGAAATCTAGATACAGGTTTCAAATGAGAAGGTTGAAAAATTCTCTGGGCAACACTTGAAGGGCTTTGGACATTCTGTAGAGCTTTGTAAGGGGACTATCCTTGCCTGTACTTTCTTAGCTATGCATTTTAAAACTCCAACATTCTTTTTTTTCCTCAAGTACTCATGAAATTTTTGCAGATGAAATTTTTGTCATCCAACTTCCTGATCCAAGTGATCATACTGATCTTGACCATGGTAATAACGACTTGATTTGCCATCACTGTTTGACAGAAGAGAACTTATTGCACTTTTAAAACCAGAATTTAAAGTGTATTATATCAGCTTTAAACATGTGTTATTGTTCATTCTATCCTCATAATTCATGGAATGTTAAAGTATTGGGGACAAAAGTTAATAGAAAAAAAAAATTAATAAGCACAGCTCCTAGGCTGGGTGCACTGGCTCCTGCCTGTGATCCCAGCACTTTGGGAAACCAAAGTGGAAGGATTGCTTGAGACCAGGTGTTTGAGCCCAACCTGGAAAACATAGTGAGACTTCACCTCTACAAAAAAATGAAAAATAAATTTAAAAGTTCCAGACTGGGCAACATAGCAACACCTTGTGTCTCTACCCCTCCCCCTAAAAAAAAATCAAAAAAAGTAGCTGGGTTTAGTGTTGTGTGCTTCTAGTCCCAGTTACTTGTGGGGCTGAGGCAGAATGATCACCTGAGCTCGGGAGTTCGTAGCTGCAGAGAGCAGTGGTCATGCCACGCAC